GAACACAGTAGCTATTACACGACTCAACTGTCCTGGGAAATGCAATCCTAATACAGTTATTAACACAAGGGGGTTAATGATATATCCTTAAGCTTTCAAAAACATCCATGCTACTGATATGCTTTGCCAAACAATTTGCTACACCATTGCCTTCCGTATAGGTTTGCTTCATTTCCAGATTGCCAAGTCTATGCATCATTTGATATAGAGGGATATATACACGTATAACTTCTAGTTATGTTTTTGAGAAGTTACAAAAGTTAATGTCCTATAACTTTACATTTCATAGGGCAGGGCAGGCCGGTGCACAAGGCATCCTGTGTTCATGCAGGGTCCGAGGAAGGGCTGCACCCAAGCAAGGGCGGATGCAGTGTGGTAGTTATGGGTTCAATTGAACCCATAACTTTCGATACGGAGTAAAAATTCATTAAAATTACAAAAATAATAGATATGAACCCATAACTTTAAAACTATAATGAGTTCAATACCCTAATGCAAGCATTAGTGACTATTTTCCCGACTTGAACTCGTTACCTACAGAAACAACTTTACCGTTGCTCTAAGGCTCCCCTTATGTAGATTTCATAGACAAATACAAAATAAGACCGAATTCACCGCAGATCTTCAAAAATGTCATTAGGTGGTCTTCCCAAAGGTCTTTGTTATGTCATCCCCATAGTAGCGCCAAAAACCCTTACAACCATGCATATTCAAAGAAAGGGGAAAATTAGAATAAACTAAACAGCCTATCAAAAAGAGGAAGAAGAATAATTTCTTATTAAAAAAAGGAATGATTAAAGTATGCAATATGTCCGTTTAATAAGCTAAAAGCTGAGAAGCTGTTGATGAATGTGCTGTTATATATTTGCAATTTGCAGTAATTTATACTAACAAAACCCGCCTTGGCCAATGGCTCAAACCTCAAAGGTATTCTTCTCTTTTGACAGGATTTTATATTGAAAAAGATTTACTGCACCATGTGCTCAAATTATATTACTATCTACTTAAAATAATGGCCAATGGCCATTGGTTTGTTTTTGCCTCTGTACTATAAAAAGGAGGCTTATCTGTAGTTGGAAGACACAAATTACATAGTTAACAATGGAAATGGATAGTTTCCGACCTCTTCTCTTCTTATCTTGGTTTCTTATTGCCCATTTCTTCTGTTTAGTAGCCATAGCAGAGAGAACAACATACATTGTCCACTTGGACAAGTCTTTAATGCCTAAGGTGTTTGCTAGTCACCATCACTGGCATTCTTCCACCATTGACTCCATCGAGATTGTAACTCCCGCTTCACTTAATAGCCGCCATCCTGTTCCAAAGCTTCTCTATTCTTATGACAATGTATTTCATGGCTTCAGCGCTGTTTTGTCTAAAGATGAGCTAGAAACTCTCAAGAAGTCCAAAGGTTTCATTTCAGCTTATAAAGATAGGTCTCTTGAAGCTCACACTACACATACCTCTGAGTTTCTTAAGCTCAACCCCTCCTCTGGTCTATGGCCAGCTTCTGGTTTTGGCCAGGATGTGATCATTGGTGTTCTTGACTCTGGTGTCTGGCCAGAGTCTGCAAGTTTCAGAGATGATGGAATGCCTGAAATCCCCCAAAAATGGAAGGGAATTTGTCGGCCAGGTGTGGAGTTTAATACTTCAATGTGCAACAGGAAGCTCATTGGGGCCAATTACTTCAATAAGGGACTAATGGCCGAAAATCCTGATTGGAACATTTCCATGAATTCTGCAAGGGATACTATTGGTCATGGCACGCATGTTGCCTCTATTGCTGCTGGTAGCTTTGTCAAAGGAGCTTCATATTTCGGATATGCTCCTGGAACAGCAAAAGGGGTTGCACCGCGAGCTAGACTTGCGGTGTATAAGTTTAGCTTTGATGAGGGAAACTTCGCTTCTGATTTGATCGCAGCTATGGACCAAGCTGTTGCAGATGGTGTTGACATGATATGCATTTCCTACGGCTGGCGCTTTATTCCTTTGTATGAAGATACTATTGCAATAGCTGCTTTCGGTGCCATGACAAAGGGTGTGCTAGTTTCTGCTTCAGCAGGAAATAGTGGTCCTAATATGGGAAGTTTAAACAATGGAGTCCCATGGATCTTCACAGTAGCATCAGGTCATACTGACAGGTGGTTTTCCGGGACTCTGACACTGGGAAGTGGTCTAAAGATTAAGGGATGGAGCTTGTTTCCAGCAAGAGCAATCATTAGCAATTGGCCTGTAATTTACAACAAGACACTGTCTGCTTGTGATTCAGCTGAATTATTAGCCCAAGTACTTGATGCTGGACGTAGCATCATTGTTTGTCAGAGGAGCGGAGATGCAGATGTAGTTACTGACCAAATGAACTCTGTTGCAGAGGCCAGAGTTGGAGCAGCCATCTTTATTACCGACGATCCAGCAATACTAAGGTCCACTGAATTTCCAAATCCTGGAGTTGTTATAACCCCCAAGGAAGGGAAACAAGTTATGAATTATGTCACAAAGACTCATGAACCCAAAGCCAGCATTAGTTTCCTGGAGACGTATTTGGACTCAAAGCCTGCTCCAGTTGTTTCTGCATCCTCAGCTAGAGGCCCCTCTCGAAGCTACCTGGGAGTAGCAAAGCCAGACATATTGGCACCAGGAGTGTTAATTCTAGCCGCCTACCCGTCTAATATTGCAGTTGAGAAAATTGGTACCAATGTAGAATTGGCAACTGATTACTATCTTGAATCAGGCACATCCATGGCTGCTCCTCACATTGCGGGAATAGCTGCAATGGTTAAAGGTGCACATCCTGAATGGAGTCCTTCAGCTATTCGTTCCGCCATGATGACCACTGCCAACTCTTTGGATAATACTCAAAAACCCATAAAATGTTCTGAGGATAACAAACGTGCTACACCACTAGACATGGGAGCTGGGCATGTTGATCCTAACCGGGCTTTTGATCCAGGCCTCATATATGATGCCACTCCGCAAGATTATGTTAATCTTCTTTGTTCTTTGAATTTCACAGAGGAGCAGTTCAAAACAATTGCAAGATCATCAGCCAATCACAACTGCTCAAATACATCATCGGATATCAATTACCCATCATTTATTGCATTCTTTAGCCCACAAGGGGACTTCACTTGGTTGGAGCAGAAATTCAGGAGGACAGTAACAAATGTTGGGAGTGGTGCAGCTAAGTATAGAGTGAAAGTGAAATCACCAAGGAACTCCAATGTTTCTGTGTCACCACAAACATTGGTCTTTAAGAAGAAAAATCAGAAGCAGAGTTACATTTTGACCATTCGTTACAAAGACGACGCAGAACAAAAAGTCGAATCTGGTTCAATAACCTGGGTGGAAGAGAAGGGAAATCATACAGTAAGAAGTCCTATTGTAATATCTCCAGAGATAGAGGTCTGGTAGTGAAACTCTTCAACTAGCACAAGCTCTTGCATTTTCTAAGTTTGTAATCTGTGAAAGAGGATTCTGTCTGAAATAGCCGGATTAAGCATGCTCTTTGATGTTATTGTTAAAATACATATTTTCCCTAAAATATAAGAGCATGACTTGTACCTATAAAAAAATGTCACCACCAAAGAGGTGGTCTTTTCGTCACTTGGTAGGAAGAGAATTGTCCATTTCAATTCCCTCACATCCAAAATAGTAAGCAGAATAAGAGGATGGCATGGTAGAATGCTGTCTTACGGTGGAAGAGCAACATTGATTAAACATGTTCTCTAATCTTTACCAATCTATCTCCTCTCAGTAGTTTTTCCTCCTAAAACTGTGATCAAACAAATTGAAAAACTTGTTGTAAACTTTTTCTGGGGTATGAATAATGATAGAAACAAATATCACTGGGCATCTTGGCAAAAGATTTATAAACCCCAAAATGAAGGGGGAATTGGTTTCAGAACCACCGAGGATGTTTGCAAATCCATGGAAATCAAACAATGGTGGCACTTCAGAACAAAGGACACTCTTTGGAGTAACTTTCTCAAGGCCAAATACCGTCAGAGATCTCACCCCATCTCCAAAAAATGGCATTCAGGCCAATCACAGACATGGAAAAGAATGATGGCTAACAAGAAACAGGCAGAAACACACATACAATGGAGACTTCAATCAGGAAGCTCAAGTTTTGGGTGGGACAATTGCCTTGGCATAGGCAACTTAGCCAGCTATAGAGCACAAGGGAGCAGACTTGGCAACATAAAGGTCTTCCACTTCTGGAGCTCAGGATCTTGGGATCTCCAGAAATTGAATGCCACTGCTCCAGCTCATATAATCCAATTCATTTCACAAGTCCCCATCCACTACAACCCTCTTCTGTCTGACAAACCAATTTGGAAAGCAACACCATCAGGCAACTTTACATGTGCCTCAGCATGGAATATGGTAAGAGAGAAGAGACCTACCCTCTTTACCAATAAGATGACATGGCATAAATACATCCCCTTCAAATGGTCCTTCTGTCTTTGGAGGGCTCTAAGGAACAAGCTTCCTACAGATGATAGACTTGCTAAGTTTCACATTTCAACTGTCAGTAGATGTGTCTGCTGCATTAAACCCCAAGCTGAAAATGTTGATCACATCCTTATTAGAGGGCACTTTGCTAAGGCTATCTGGAAAATCATTTCAGGACCCTTTGGATTTCCTTTCACTGTTATGCCTCTACAACCTATGCTTGTAAAATGGTGGTTTCAGAAGAGTAAAAATGAAATTCACAAGTTACTCATAGACACCACTCCCATCATTGTTTGTTGGAATCTTTGGAAGAATAGATGCAATGCTAAATATAGCTCAAAAAAATCATCAATGACAAGGGTTCTTTTCTCCATTACTAATGACATCAACCAAATACTCAAAGCCTACCACCCTAATATTCTATGGCCTTTTTATTGGCCTGACTTCCTCTCAGTGGTTGAGAACCTGCAGTACCACACTAGCATTACCTCAGTGGCATGGCTGAAGCCTGAAACTGATTTTGTTAAAGTAAACAGTGATGGTAGTGCCTTAAACAACCCTGGCAAAATTGGTGCTGGTGTCATCATCAGAGACTCAGAAGACCAGTTCATACATGCTATAGCCAATCCTCTTGGTGAAGGATCCAACAATCTTGCAGAAACTCAAGCAACAGCCTTGGGTATGCAGTGGTGTCTGGCCAATGGCATCACTAAAATTCACCTAGAAGCTGATTCTGCACTACTTATTCACTGGCTTAACCACACCTCAGCTCCTCCTTGGAATCTGGACATCAAAGAGCAAAACCTCAAAGAACTATGCAGGTTGTGTGAAAAGTTCAAATGCTCCCATGTTTACAGATAAGCAAATTTTCCTGCAGATTCACTGTCCAAAATCAGTCACAACCTTCCCACCATAACACACTACCACTGTCTAAATGAATTACCTGAACACATAAGAGGTCAAATACACTTTGACATAATTGGCACACCTTCTTTCAGACACAAACAAACCAAGAAGCTCCAAATCCCATTTCAGCAGGCTTCAACTTCCACTCATGATCATGGTCGACACACACACATCTAGAGGAGTTGTCCCAACTATTACTGTAACTGCTACAAAAGAAGACCTCCAGAAATCACCATTGACCTCCAACCTCCAACCATTCCTTCTGAACCAAATGCAACATATGCACCCCACCCAAACTTCATTGAACCACTCATACACACACTCATTTAATCCTCCAATTATCTTCAGTTCACACATGAACCCGAAGGCAATCACCCAGAAACCCCACAAGAAAAATAAATCAAGCAATCAGGGCAAAATAACCCAATACCTGCTACCAACAGCCCCTGCACTCAGTTCTGCCAAGAAATCACACGAGCAATATTTCATGGCCCAATACTATTTAACCCCACCTTAATTTCATCCTCTGCTCCCAGCTCCCACAAGAACATGGAAGCAGAATGCGACCTTCAAAAATAGGAGCTTTAAAGATTCAATTTGGCTAACATCTTTGTTCAATTTTGTAGGATCATTGAGATGGCTTAGTCAATTGACACACTTCCAGTGTGTGGTATTAGCATCTCTGATACTCATTCTACTGGAAGGGCATCAATTCACTCTAGTCCCTCAACATGTTACTACACACACAAACAAGCTAATACTTAATAAATGAAAACAATATCCTATGGACAGTATCTCCATGAGACCTACAGGGCATTACTGCCCCTTCTATACACAACTCTAACACTATTAAGAGGTGACAACACAACTGTCACCATAAGAACAGTCAGCTTCCAACCTTCTAGCAATTCTGCAGTAGTTTCTTCTACAGTCTAATGCCACCAGTCAAAGTTTTCAATGTGACACACTTAGGGGCCCAGACCTAGTTTCTATGTCCTGCTTCTCCATCAATCAACACACTGGCGACAAACTGAGGACACCTGAAGCAGGAAAATGCTCACTCATCTACTCAGTAGAATTAGGATTAGTTGTGCATGTTTGTATAGTTGACCTAGGCCTACTCCACTTTATTTTTGTATACCCAATTGGTATCAATATTGGATAGACAATAAGGACATTATCTTAGGTCTTAATGCACATAGTCTCTAGGATTCATCTAGTCACCATATGTTGATGACCAAATATTCCATCACTTTATTTTGGGAGGTAAGGTCTATGTCCCCCTCCTTTGTTGTATCTTTTATTACATATATGAAAATCAACCCTAGGCACAGTGCCTAGTGGATTCTTAAAAAAAAAAAAAGCTTTCTTATGACTTCAGTTCATATACCACAATGGAAGTGGGACGAGATAGCCATGGACTTTGTCTCTGGATTGCCGAAGACTGCGAGGCAATATGACGCCATTTGGGTGATTATTGATCGGTTGACCAAGTCAGCTCACTTCCTGCCGATCAATGACTTACTCTAGGGGCAAGCTAGCCCAGATCGGTTGATAAGATAGTGCACCTACACGGGATACCATCATCCATAGTATCAGACAGTGATTCATAGTTCACTTCAGCCTTGTGACAGAGCCTATAAGAGGCTTTGGGTAGCAGAGTGAGTCTTAGCACAGGCTTCCATCCTCAGACCGATGGCCAGTCTAAGAGGACCATCCAGACATTGGAGGCTATGCGAAGGTAATCCCTTGATTTTCGGCCTTTCGCCCAAAGATTTTTTACTATTCAACTTCATCAAATAAACTGGAGTTAGGCCAAATTTCTTTTCTGGGTATGGCCATATTCGTTGGTGCCATATTTTTCCTTACGCTGGGTGGGTTTCATGGGTGTTGCTTGGATTCAGACTGATTGTCATGTCCTTTCCTTGCGTTGACGAAGATTTTGTCCTTGTTGGCCCAAAACGGTAGCATAGTCTTCTATTTATCAAGTAATTCTCCACCCGCGGTCATCAGCTCCGCGGGACTTCTATATTTTTTTGCTCCCGTCAGTGTGTCTAGAGTGCTAAAAGAAATAGATATAGTTCAAAAGAAGGTGGTGAGACTTGTTAAGTCATCAAATGAACTTCTTAAAAATGAATCTTTTCTCATTGGGAGCTGGCTGTAATAGGACAGCGAGCATTNAATATAGCAGTCATCAAATTAACTTCTTAAAAATAAATCTTTTCTCATTGAGAGCTGGCTGTAATAGGACATCGAGCATTTTGACCCCCAATGAGAAAGGAATGGGCATTTTCGGGCGAGGGGCGGTTTGGTTTCAAGGCCCTCGCGCATTTGTAATCCATGTGATTAATAGCTTGTTTGGCCATGCTTCTCTAAACTTGTATTTAAAAAAAAAAAACTTTTCCCCCCAAAGTTTAAGTGTTTGATCAAGCTTTTGAAAAAAAAAAAAATACTTTTAAGGAGAAGCAGGAAAAAGTAGTTTCTTCCCCCAAAATACTTTTTTGAATAACGCTTTTGAGAAAAAATACACATAAAAGTACTTTTTAAAAGCTTGACCAAGCATTAATTGCTACTCAAGAGTGCTTTTCGAATTAATTAGCCAACCACAAACTGCTTCTCATCAAAAGTACTTTTGAGAAAAATAATTTTAAGAAACAACACTTCTCAAAATAAGCTGATTTAAGTAGCTTGGCCAAACATGCTATAATTCATGTACAACTATCTAGTATGTTTAAAGAAAAAAAATTATGGTTACAACTTTTCACATCCAAGCAAGAACAAGCACAACATGTATTAAATTATCCAATTCGTTGTCAAAATTCTATGTGGTTGCTCACGTGGTATAAAAAATAACTAAAAGTTTGCCATGTCATTTTTCCGGTGATGATAGATCCATATTCCATCAGATGTGACTTTTAAGTGATGTGACCAGTGTTGAATGACTTTTAAGTTATAAACGGAAATTGAGTGACTTTTGTCAAATTGAAACAAAGTTGAGTGACCACAAGCGAAATTAACCCCTTGATTAAATAGGAGTATAATTTAACCAAAACTATAGCTAGATCAACTTCCTAAGCTTTCCTAAGTACCTTTGAAAACTTTTTGGGTAATTGGATACATTCAAGTCTTATTTGTTTGCATTTAACGAAGGTCTTAATTTTAATTATTCAGATCTCAGCTATTAAGTGTGCTTATTTTTTTTATCTGAATATTAATCATTGAGATTTAAATTATTAAGTGCGCTTATTTTATTTATTTTACAACCACTTAATGAGTCGAACACTACTACTAACTACCACTCTACACTTGTTTATAAAATCTAATGCCCTTATTTCATCTTAAGGCATTGAGAACATATTATCAAGGCAAGAATGCTGTTAAAGATTAATTAGAGAAGACCCATCTGATACTGTGCCAATATAGTAGTACAATAAATGCCGATTTTTAAATCCTACTTTCTTGGTTCTTAAGTGAGTATGATGCTATTTGATGGAATTTATTGAAATTCGTAAAAGTATAGCCTAATTATATTGTTGAGCATTACTATATTTAATTTTCTATAATTATGTTTACCCGAAAAATGGATAAAGTTGAATTTATACGTAGTTCTAAGGATACATGGTATAACTTGGCACAAATCGGAAAAGTAAGTAGAAATATATCGAATATTGACTGTAAAGAATGAGATACAAACCAAATTGAATGGAGAATGATTTATAAACA